GGCATACCTGGGTGGTCGACAAATGCCTTTGATGTCGACACCTGCGCGTCCAGACTACCGCGCTGAGCCAACAAACAGCTGATCGGCTCTGCGCGGCAGCCATGTAAATTTAAATGAAGCTGCGATTATTTAAATCGCCACTTCATTTTCCTATGCCTGGTAGCCTCATCTACATGCCTCTGGCGACAGAGGCATGTAGTCTAGACGTAGCCTAGGAAAGGAGATTTGAACTCCTAGCTTGCACACACCTTCTTTTGATACCAACAGGAGGAAACTATCTTCCCAAGGAGCAAACAAAAAGAAGACGGAAGGTACTCATATTGTTAATGGAGCTTTCAACTGCTGCTGGTGGGCACAGATTAGTAGGCCAAGCAATATGTTTAAAAGTAGAAAGTTAAATTATTATTATTATTATTATTAAGAATGTAGAGGAGTAGAACCCTTAGGAGGAGGGAACCCTTATAAAGGTAGCTACTGTTTGATAATATACATTTCCTTTGTGAGAAAGCGAAGATGCACTACACTCCAAGATTTATGTAGGAAATCCTTGTACTGCTGGTGAGATTGCAGTCAGCTCCTCTACTAGTGTTTTGCTATGAGGGGGAAAAATCCTCTTTTTTCCTTTTCTCAATGGCTTTTCTGTAGACTTTGCTTTATCTGTCTTATGTATTTATAAGGCCTCTAACATTTGGCACTCAGCTGTAGTTGGGAGTGTACTTTTCCTTTACTATGATGTAATATATTGATTTAAAAGATAAACCTAGAAAAATATGTACTAATCACTTGTTATTAAAAAAAATGAAGCTTGCATTTCAGGACAGATGGTTTAAATAAAAGTGTGCCCATCCTCTGTTCTAATAGGTAAATGATGAATGAAATCTTACTCTAGAAATTCAGTGTATATTTCCATTGTAAGCGTGAGCCAGAATAAATGTATTGCTCTCTAAACAAATTATTTTGAAATAACATAACTCTTTTCTGATGCAGAGATACTGGAGTGATGATAAAACTGTATCCGAATATGTCTCCAGTGCTACTTCATAATTCACAACTTGATCAAAGAAAGGTAATAAAAGAAAAACAAGGAGGCCAAGTACTGCTGGGTTTCCCAACAAGATTTTCTCTTATTTTTTTAAGTTGTTCAAATGAGCTGGAAGAGTAGAGCATTGCAGCACCAAAGTCAGAGTTTATGGGAGGTTATATTGCCTACTTAACAGTGATCTAATGTAAGGAAATGCATGTGGAGAGTTAGAGGGTAAGGGCTTCAGATTTCAGAGACTTACTAGAAGCTCATCAGAGGGACAGGGTATAGCCAAGGTCCAGGGATATCACCCTGGTAAGAATCCCAGCACTCTGACTTTTACCAGTGAATGTAAAAGTGGGGGGAGGGATAGCTCAGTGGTTTGAGCATTGGCCTACTAAACCCAACATTGTGAGTTCAATCCTTGAGGAAGCCATTAGAGATTTGGGGCAAAAATTTGTCAGGGATGGTACTTGGTCCTGCTGTGAAGGCAGGGGACTGGACTCAATGCCTTTCAAGGTCCCTTCCAGTTCTAGGAGGTAGGCAATCTCCATTCATTATTATTATTTAATGAGTATGAATGGGTGGGGGAAGTTGGCATTGCCCCAATAGTAAATCTGCTTCCCCATACTTCTCGCTGGTCCTGGCCTGTAGGTTTTGCACGAGAGAAAAGCAGGTTTAACAAAAACAGAAGTAGTAAGTAGAATTGTAAAGGATTATTTAATATAAAATTGGCAATATTAAAAGCAAGTATAGTATGATACACTGTACATTATCATTTAATTTCAAATTGCATGATGTGTACCTTGAGGCATGCCAGCAAGGTTACTCCCTTCCTAAATAGTAAATCTTAGGCCTTGGGTTAATAGCTGGCAATTAAAGGTCATTCCAGGTCCTATGCATAATATACTGCTGAAAAACTTCTCCTCCATTGGCTACCCTGAAAAACTATTTCCTTATTTTCTGAACTTTCTGTGAACTGACTGCATGTTCCAGTAGGTATTAGTAGTACCGACAATGTCCTATCACAGGACTACTCAACTTTGAAAGCCTCAGGGGCCACTCATACTCACGGCACATGCCGAGGGCCGCAACACAAGGGTGGTTGCATGTATATGCAAATAGCTTCTTTCACACTGATTGGCATGAATACAAAAATTAAGGCAAGACTACACAATAAACAGGCCCCATTTAAGTCAGTTCTGCTGATATTAATAAAATGTAATATTTACCCGATTTCCACCCACATGACAGCACTTTTAATGAGCAATTACAGTCCAGGAATTTAACTACGAAAATGCGTATCAACAGAAGACCATTATATTGACTACTTTTTTCCTTTGGCTCCCACCCGTAGGCCACATGTTGAGCCCCACAAACACAAACTGCACTGTGGGCCACAAACAGGGCCGCAGGCCGCATGTTGAGTAGCCCTGTCCTATCATGTTGAATACTGGTGCTACATCAACAAGGAACCACCATGGTGGTACAGATGTTTCAATAAACAAATAGTTTTATGTATGTGCTGAATACTCCCCTGGGGGGCGGGGGGAAAGTAGTTAAGTATTTAGGACCAAGTTCTTACCTTGTATATTGATGTACAGTTCCACTGAGTTCTGTTGTGACTGAAAGAATAATATTGCCCTCAGAAAAACTATGTTTGGCATTTAACTTTTGCTTTTCATCACATCATATTGTAAAACCAATATTATTCTGCCAGGGTTTCTTGAATAGTTTAAATCCTCCATTCTAGTTGGAAAACTTGTTCCCCGCTCATTTCCTGTTTGGTTACAATGCTATATTCTAAGTAAATTAAATCTTTTTGCAAAGGCTTCTATGTGCCTGTTACTCTTAGGCAACATCTACACTACGAGTTTTCTTGGCAAAGAATATGCTAATGAGGGTCTCATTTGTATATTTTCTGCCGATCCGTTTTTGTGCTGGGTTTTTGCTCAAAAAACAAGCAGTGTGGACAGTTTCTTTTTGCGCAAAAACAGATCAGTAGAAATTATGCAAATGACATCATGACTCATGCAAATGAGATCCTCATTAGCATATTCTTTGCCAAGAAATCTCGTAGTGTAGACGTAGCCTTAGTAAAGCTAACTCTTTCAATAACTTTCTGGATTTAAGAGCATTTCATTTAATTATGTAACTTTTATTTCTAGATTAAACATCCTAGCGCCCTGGGATTAGATGTTGGCCAAGAAATTCAGGTATTTATTTAAGCCTTGACGACAGTATTGAAAAAATAATATTGTAAATTTTGTTTCATTGCCAAAAGGTATAATAGCTTTTATGTCATCCTTGGTTTGTGTTGGCACAAGACGAATATAGCTAAATCTGTTTATAAATACTTCAGTTTGTCATACTTATAGCTTTATATGTTGGTTAAAAATAAGGATGTTAAATATTGATTAGTTTACTAGTTGAGTAGTCGATGGAATTTCCATCAACTACTCAATAGGCACTTCCACATTCCTCCTTTGCAATGTTGGGGCTCTTCTGCATTTCAAAGTTGGAACTCCATGTGCAGCCTGGGCTCTTGTACATTTCAAAGCGCAAGTACCCATATGGAGCCCAGAGTCAGTGGGACTTCCTGCTGGCCCTGGGCTGCACGCAGAGTTCCAACTTCGAAATGCAAAAGAGCCCCCAATGGGGCTCTAGTGCATTTCAAAGTGAAAGCGCCCGCATGGAGCCAGGGGTCAGCGGGGAACTTTGAGTCACCTGCTGACCCCAGGCTCCATGCGGCACTGCCACTTTGAAATGCCACACGAGCCAGGGTCAGGTGGGGAGTCCCCAGCTGATCCCGGGCTCTGTGTGGTGCTGCCCCTTTGAAACGCTACCATGGTGTTTCAAAGGGGCAGTGCCACACTGAGCCCGGGATCAGCTGTGCGGTACTGCCCCTTTGAAGTATCCTCTCTTTCCCCCACTTTTTCTGCCTCTGATAGAGGCAGCAAGGGGGAGGGGGAAGCGACTAGTCAACTTGACTGCCCAATAAGCATTTGCTCGTTGGATAGTCGACGAGTCCTTAACATCCTTAGTTAAAAACCCACTTCTGCTCCCTTGGAGTAAATGGAATTTTAGGCTATTCACTTCAGTGGGAATAAGAATTGATTGTGCAAAATAGATTTAATGGTGCCCAATGGTAATAAACTATAACAACGTATGTTCTTAATATCAGTATTTTCCATTCACCTTTAATTTTGTTCCTTCAGTTTGATATATGATAATTTTTACACTGAAACTAATTCTTACACTGTCTGAAACAATCTCATTTCTCCCTAGGTGAAATATTTTGGACGTGATCCAACTGATGGCAGAATGAGACTTTCACGTAAAGTACTTCAGTCACCAGCCACATCTGTAGTTAAAACTCTAAGTGACAAAAACAGTATTGTAATCGGAGGTGCAATTCCAGAGTCATCTAGCTCATCCTGTTGACTAGTAAGATCATAAAAACTGTTATGGACATATTAGTACAGAACTTTTTAATGTATGAACAAATTTATGAATGCCAAGTTTATATATTGTACAGATAACATTTTAATTTTGTATAAATATTGTTTGGTGCTGATTAGTATTAAATTTTTCATCACTGGCTGTTTCATTCTGTGTCACAAAAAAGCTTAATTTCTTGTTACAAATTATGTAAAATTGCTGAGGAAAAATTGACAATTCTAGACTTTCGGTAGGCTATCCTATATAAGCTGTCAGACAAAGCTATCTTTATTTTTAAGAAGTCTTGCTCATAATGCCAAAGAGCAGATACAACCCCGTTTAAAGAAATGTAAAATTGGCTGCTTTCTTGAAAGTTCTGACCATCATACTGGAATGCCTGAAGCTCTGACCCTTACATATTTGACTGTATAATAGACTTAGATTAAGCTTTTTCAAAAGAATACTATGTGCATTTTTTTTCTTCGGAAGCAAAGGAGACAGTAGACAAAGGTGACTGTAAAATGAAGGCAAAATTCTTGCCAGGTCATTGGCAAATGAAAATTTTTAGTAATTATAACTTACGATATTGTCACTGGTTTAAAACAAACTTATTCTCTAGATTTGTGGAGCTTTATGCTAATTTAGAGAAATACAGAAATAAACTTAATTGACTTTTAGCACCATTTTGAATGCGGAACCTTCTTGATTAAACTAATATTTTGGCATTTGGTCCCTCGGAAAGAGTAGCATCCTGCATTTTCTTCAAAAGTTGACACAGTAAGCAAATAATCTCACTTAATAAAAATCATACTCTACTAAAACTTGCAGACTGACAATAGTGGGGAAAAAAGTACACACACAAACTATAAAAGCTAAGAGGTGAGGTAAAGTCTCATAATTTAAAGTTGCTGTTAGACAATTTGGCTAAAATTCCATCAGAGTAAGAGAATCAAAAATCTCAAGTTGCACAGTGGGAAGTGTAGACTTCTGTAGTTTTATAAAATAGACATTTTCAAAGTTATTTCAGAAATATCTGAAAACATTCTAGTGTAAAAGGTAGACTTGAGAAGCCATTCACTGACAATCCTTTACATAATCAAAAGTTTTGGCGTTACTTTTCTCTTGTTGAGATGTTCCACTTTTATCTTGGTGCAGTTTCTCTCAAAGTGGGCAGCGGGCCCTCTTTAGAAAGCTGCTAACGGGCCACTCCGGTTTTGCGTCTACCTTGGCTGCAAATGGCAAATAGTAGCCAATGGGAGCTGCAAGGCTCCAAGTAAATAAACCAGAGCAACCCATTAGCAGCTCTCTCAATGTGGGCCATAAACACTGGCTTAGCACAATGTACCTCTGTTAGTCAGTGCCCAGTCGCAGGACATAACCCTATAATGAAGATTGTAAGGGAAATTTCAGCAATCTGCAAGGTATGTAGAATTCACTACTTTAATATGAGTAGTGTTTAACCTCAGTTTCATGGCTTATTTCAGATATAAATAAATTTACAATAACTAAAGTGAAAGCACCACATTTATAAAGAACATTAGCAATTTTATAATACTAAAATGTGTAGTAGAAACACAGAGAGTCTGTTATTGGAACTTACCATTTAGAATTAAATGCTAATGAACCCTCCCAAAATAAAGTATAGAATAAATAGAAATATTGAGATTGTAATGGATTTTTCCCCCCAGTTTTGAGTTTTAAACCATTGTGCCTGGTATAGGTTCCAAAAATCTTGTTTTGAAGAATGATAAAACTCCTTCACTAAATTATGTTCAGTCAAGATGATTTCTTTAGAGTCTCTTAAGTTCAAAGAGACATTTTTTAAAAGGGTATAATAATTAACTGTTTGTTCAACACCATGTGTTGAGGCTTCCAAAAATCCATTAAGGCAGCACCCATGCGTATGCTGGTCTCAAATTTTAAAGATCTGATCTATTTGTAGAAAACCAAGTTTTCCATCAGTAGCAAACAATCTCTGAAGCACCCAGAATAAAAGAAGTGGAGCAACGTGCAGGAAAATACTTGTGTTTGTGGAGGAGAAATATGAACCTCTAACTGTGAATATACAGCCACAAATATTTTGCAGTTTTTTCTTGGTAAATATTAAAAGGACATTGAACCAGTTACATTTGTAGTCTTTTTTTCCTCATAGTATAAATTTGAAATACAAGCTTTCCCCTACTCATCTTTGCTTTTATACTTACCTCAATTGAGAGATCTTTACTTCTTGATTTTGTTACTTTAAATTATCATCACACATAACCAATATCTCATGCAATGGGTGGTAATATTGGATTTACACATTCTAATGTTTTTATTTGACAGATGGCCCTGGGATTCCCCACTGCTGGTGTTGGTGTGTCCTTGAGCCATTGTTTGGAGATTCTTAGAGCAGTGCCTAGCTTGCACACACTGCCTTGATATTGCGCGTTCACAGCCTGTCTCCTCAGTTTCTTCTCTGGCATCCTGGTCTGAGAAGGAGCCCCACAGTGTCACTCAGATTTTTTTCCTTCCTTCATGACTTAACTAGTTTTTTCTTCTCTTATTTCAGATAAGCTTCCATTAACCGCTGTTTGTCTGCCCCCCCAAAAATAATTCTAGTATGCCTGTTTCACCAGGTTTTAAATGATGCACTTACATGCAAGGACACTATTCCCATTTCAGATGGCTAATCACAATGCATCTGCTGTTTGCTTAAAAAAACCATGTCCCCCAAAGATGTGCCCATGGTAACAAGCTAAAAAGGCAGGGACTTGAGGCTAAAACTCATTCTTATGGAGAAGTCTCTCTGTCCCATCTCAGATCCAGGGCCCAAACCCTTCATGAGCCACTCCATACATCCATCCTCCAAAGAAAAAAGGTGGCAAAAAAGTGCTCGGCTTCGTCACCTCAGAGAGGTCCCCTTCCTGCAAGACGGTCTCTGAGCAGATTGGTGCTAACCGTGTCATCTTCACCAGGCCTCAACACCCATGACACTTGGGGCATCTCAGGCACAATGACTGCTACCACTCTGATACAAGGGAAGCGGCTTAAAGTTGCCTGCACCATTGCCTGACTCAGTACTGACCATCACCTCAATACCACTTGCTCTGCCATCTTTGGCAGCACCGGACAAGCTGGCCACATAGCCATCAACTGTGGTGCAGCACACCCAGATACAGTCTACACTGGTATCACGGTTCTCCCACCAGCGATCTCCTTGTATCACCGATGCTCAAGTCTCTGCTTCTCGATACTGAGGTCTCCCCAGGAATGTCAGTACCATAGCACTGCTTATCTCCAGTTCCATTTCTGATTGAGGATGAAGAGAACGTGGAGGAAGTCTTCTCAAAACACTCTCCTCCCATTGATACTCCCACTGCCTTGGCAACAACTTGATCAAGGTCATTTTATGCTAGGGACTTCCACCCATGGTACAACCTCCCAGGGATGGGACCACCCATGCCTTATCCTGGCCGGGGCAATATTGAAGCCCTTGGAGAGCTCACTACAGGAATTCCTATATCAGACACCAATCCAATGCAGTGCAGAGCAAGTCCCCAACCCAAACCTACCACTCAGTAACCACTGGAACCAGATGCCCCACAAACAGAACCAATGGCATCAGACACCTCACCAGAGAACACCAATTTGTAGTCTTCAGACAAAGACATCATGCCACCCCCTCCCTTCGCAGAGGATGACTTTACATGTTTTAAAAGAGTAACAGCAGAGCTCATTACTCAGGAAGAGATTACAGAGAATTAACACAAGCTCACTGCAACAACTTCCAAGATTGCTCTTCCCATTAACCCTGTTGTGATGGACCCTGCCAAAACTATCTGGCAAATCCAACCCACTATACCACCTACCCGCAAAAGAGCAGATCAAAAAAATTGCGTTCTACCCTGGGGCTCAGATTTCCTGCTTACACATCCTGTTTCAAATTCGGTGGTAGTGTAAACCGCTCACCAAAAATATAAACAGCAGCACTTCTGCTCAATTCCCTTTGATTGCAACAGTAAAAGGCTGGGTCTCTTCAGCTGCAAAATTTATGCCTCATCCATACTACAATTTAGAGCAGCCAACTATGCAGCCCTACTCAGCAAATATGACCACATAAATTACTCCAAGTTCAGTGGTTTTATTAGAGAGATCCCTGAGGCAAAGAGACAACAACTCGGAGTGGTTATCACAGAGGGCCACACAATGTCCCGAACCACACTCCAGGGCCTTCTTGACGCAGTGGACACTGTTTCTCTTTCTCTTGTCGTATTTCTCTTCAAAAATCGTTGACACCACTCAGTCACCCTGTGACAGAGATTCCTTAAGGATACACAAGCCCTTTACCCAAATATTAAACCACCCACTTAACCTTGAGATGTATACTTGGTTCTCAACTGCCTAACTCACCAGCCTTTTGAACCAAAGACACACTTGTTCCCTCTTACATTTATCAATAACAGCATTTTAGTAGCATTAAGTCAGCCAGGCAAATAAGAGAACTTGGAGCGCTTGTGGCAAATCCACCATACACTTTTTTTTTTTTAAGGACAAAGTCACTCTCTGCACATACCCCAACATTCTCCACAAAATTCATTCCTCTTTCCATAGCAATGTACCCATCCACTTTCCTTCCCAAAACCATGTGCTAACAACTTCATATCCACATGCACACACTTGACATGCATGAGGCACTCTTATTTTTATCTCAATAGAACAAAATCCTTCAGAGGCTTTCACATTGTATATCGGATTGAATCCAATTATGTTACCAGCAAAGAAATCTTAATGCCACTGTTAACATACACTCCGTGAGAGAGTGGTATTTACGTCTATAGTGTGCTTTCATAAAATCCCTCTTAAAGATATTTTAAAGCTGCCACATGGCCCTCTGAACACTTTTGCACAACACTACACTCTCACTCAGAGACTGCTGTCTGAAATAGGGAAAACCCAAGCAGTACTTTCCATAGCCTTTGTACCAGATCTAAAATCCTACCTCTTTAATGCATACTCCTTTAGAGTCACATACAGTAGATCATCCACAAAGACATCTCTCGAAGGAGAAAAGGAGGAGGTTACTCACCAGTGTAGTAACTGATGTTCTTTGAGATGAGTGGCCCTATAGGTGCTTCACTATCCACCCTCTTCTTTACTTTGGTGTTTCATGTGGTCTCCATTGTAGGGAAGGAACTATGAAGACAGGCCACACTTGTAATGTTGAGACCCTGGCAGCCCGCAAGGACTCTACTCTAAAAATCTCCAAATGACAGTGCAGGGGCACACCGACACCTACAGTGTAGCACCCACAGGACCACTCATCTTCTTGTAACACCCTTTTAAAAGCTGCTGTCATGTCCCCTCTCAGTCGTCTTCTGTTTTCTAAACCAAACTCAATTCTTTCAGTTTTCCTTCATAGGTCATGTTTTCTAGACCTTTAATCATTTTTCTCTCTTCTCTGGACCTTCTCCACTCTTTCCACATCTTTCCTGAAATGTGGTGCCCAGAATTACACAATACTTAAGCTGAGGCCTCATCAGTGCAGAGTAGAGGAGAAGAATGACTTCTCATGTCTTACTCACAATAGCCCTGTTAATGTATCCCAGAATGTTTCTTAGGGTTTTTGAACAACAGTGTGTCACTGTTGATTCATATTTAGTTTATGATCCACTATGACTCCCAGATCGTTTTCTGCAGTACTCCTTTCTAGACAATCACTTCTCATTTTGTATGTATGAAACTGACTGTTCTTTCCTAGGTGCAGTACTTTGCATTTGTCCTTATTGAACTTCATCCTATTTACTTCAGACCATTTCTCCAGTTTGTCCTCATTTTGAATTATGATCCCATCCTCCAAAGCACTTGCAACTCAGGTTGGTTTGATAAAATTTGTTCTTGACAAATCCATGCTGGCTGTTATCACTTTAATATCTTCCAGATGTTTGCAGATGGATTTCTTAATTATTTGTCCATTATCTTTCTTGGCACAGAAGTTAAGTTGGTTGGTCTGTAGTTTCCTGGGTTGTTCTTATTTTCTTTTTTACAGATGGGCACTGTATTTGCCCTTTCCGAATTCTTCTGGAATCTCTTCTGTCTTCCATGACTTTCCAAAGATGATGGCTAATAACTCAGATACATTCTCAATAAACTCCTTGCATATCCTAGGATGCATTTCATTAGGCCTTGTGGATTGAAGACATCTAAATTTTATTAAGTAATTTTTAATTTTCTTTTCCTATTTTAACTTCTGAACCTACCCAATTTTCACTGTCATTTACTATTGTAGCAGAACTCCGGCTGTGCCTGTGGGTCCTGCATTTCTGGAGGATAGTATTCAGCTTCAGAGGTTCACTGTGTCCCATCGGATGACCTCTTTCTCTTTACTAGAGGCAGGGTTCACAGCCTACTGAGCCATACTCATTACAGGCTAGTCCCTCTGTAGTCCTGATCTCCTTATCCAGGAACAGACTGTAGTTGTATGGGGAAGGTTGGGGAGAACCTGGGTCTACCCACTCCTTTTAGTTCTGGCCCAGGAAGCTTAAGGCAGAAGCAACAGATGGGGTTTGTTCTACTCCCCATCTGGCAACTACTTCCTTGGGCCACTTCCCCAAATAATTCCTCCTAGTATTTTTCCTCTGGTACCTGAGCAACTTATCTTGCTCCTCCAATACACTCTACCTGATTTGCAACTCCTAGCTCTCACCCAGACTCCTCTCACTCTCAGAACCTTGGCTCCTTCCTTCCTCCCCACGTGCCCCAGGACCCAGTCTCAACTGGTTCTTGATTAGCCCCAGGTGGACTGATTAGCCTGATTCCCTGATTAGCTCTAAAAGGCTTCTAATTATCTCCAGGTATTCTAACAGGCCTGATTGTCCAGACTTTTCTGGAAAGTTCTTTCTAGTTCAAGGCCAGCCCGGGACAATTTACTCGGGGAATCTAGGGCTAACTTATATCCCTTTGAGTGCTCTTCTATAGCTATCTGACCTGACCCTGTAGTAGTGCTATATTAAGCTTTCAGTTGCGACCATCCTTGGTGAAAATGAACACAAAGTCATTAAGCACCTTTGCTATTTCCACATTTCCTACTATTTTTCCCTATACATTAAGAAATGGGCCCACCCTGTCCTTGGTCTTCCTCTTGCTT